TTTCAAGGCAACAGTGCCGGAGAGTTAGAAACAGGGGTTTGCTTCCTGTCACTTTGTTTGGAAAGTTAGATCCTGCCCAACCTTTTGCCATTATTGCAAAATCTTCTACTACATCTGAATCCAATTTTATATATTTATTTGGAAGATTTAAAGGAATATTGAGAACCTTAACCCCCAAGCTTAAGCGAAAACTCACACGGTGAAAGCCACATTCTTAAACAATTTGTTTTCTTAAATTAATTCCTTTCTTCCTCCGACAATTAAATGTGGCTTCTTTTGATAATAGACTCCTCTGAACACAGACAGCTTCTTAATGAAGCCTAAAACGGGAGAAATTTAGAGATATACAGGTACCATGTTTTTCCTAAAACACAACTCACCCCACCACCCCAAAAAAGAAGGCCCAGCACTGTTTTGTGTGCATGTGTTAAAATGAAACCCTATCCCCAAAATTTGGCCCTATTTAAGCACATGTGCAGCTGGTCCCTGCTATTTTCTCACATCGCTTGCAATGTGGGCAACACGAGGTGAGAGGGTGAGGGAGGGGGGAAGGGCAGAGGGGAAGTTGCCCCACTCACCTCTATCCACTGGGCTGCTTCTTTCATGGCCGAAAGGAGCAACCCATGTGCCTCGCGTACCCTTGCCCACCTGTCATGGTCACTGCCAAGAAAACTGCTTGGATAAATCTAGACTTGAGGGCGTTCTTACTTTTTAAAGGTGGTGATGAAAGCGCATGAGAAATGGCCTTTCAACAGATGATTACCTTGCATAATATTATTTATACTAAACGCTTGGTGATGTATCGCCCATTAAATATTTCTCCTGCCTTCCATGAAAGAAACAGAGGAACTTATCTATCATGGCTCCAAGGTTTTAAAGTGGAGATCTGGAAGTTTAGAAAAGGAGACCACAAGGAAACAGGACCTCCATCAAAGTCACCCTTAAGGCTAGCATGGAGCAGTGGTGGGATTCAATTTTTTTTACTACCGGTTCTGGTGGGCGTGGCTTGGTGGATGTGGCAGGGGAAGGATACTGCAAAATCCCCATTCCCTCCCCATAGCACTGACCTGTTTTCCAGCTCCATTCTCCTGGGCAGGGCAACCAAAGAAGACCCAGCCAATCAGCTGGGACTCAATGGGAGGCAGAGAAGAGATGGGGGCGGGGCCAATTAGAGGTGGGATTTGCTGGTTCTCTGAACTACTCAAAATTTCCGCTACTGGTTCTCTAGAACTGGTCAGAACCAGCTGAATACCACCTCTGGCATGGAGACATCCAAAGCTCTTTTAATGTTTCTAGCAACTGCTGCTTCACATTTCACATGCTGAGTGGTGCGGTGGAGCCTGTGAGATTGATCTTTGGTAGGGGCAGATATTTGTTTCTGGGCACAATGAGAATTTATCTGCTGAATAAAATTCCACATTGGCAACAGGAAGAGCATCCGGCCAGTAAACACTCTGCTCCAGACTCCAGCCCACAAGGGATTATGGGGTCATGAAAAGGAGATGATGAGTCCAGAATGTCATGCTGGAACAAAACCAGCATCATTCGCATTTAAGTTTTATGTCAACTAAACATCATATCGGAGCTACCTTGGTAGAATGCTGTGTTTTCTCAACCTTGGCAGCTTGAAGATGTGTGAACGTCCAGAATTCTGCGAGTTGAAGTCCACACATCTTCAAACTGTCAAGGCTGAGGAAGTATAATGGTTACAAGGCCCTGGTCTAGAACTCAAGAGACCGCAGGTTTCTCAGGTCTAAAAAGAAGCCAGTGGAAACCACTTCTGAAAAATATTGCCAAGAAAAATGTTGCAAGGGTTTGTTCATCCGGAGTCAAAACTAACCCACGGGATAACAACAACAATGTACAATTACCCTCATGTGTTTAACACACTCCCCTTTTCCTCACGTTTAATTTGACAACAACTCTAGGGCAGAGATCTCCAAACTTGGCAAACTTTAAGACTTGTGGACTTTAACTCCCAGAATTCTCGACTCGAAATTCTAGATCTAGAAAATCTAGAACTACGCCACCTTCGGTCCGATCTAAGTATAGCATATAAAATCATACATTGCAATGTCCTACCTGTCAATGAATACTTCAGCTTCAACCATAACAACACTAGAGCAAACAATAGATACAAACTCAAAGTTAACCGCACCAAACTTGATTGCAGGAAATACGACTTCAGCAACAGAGCGGTCAATGTCTGGAATACTCTACCTGACTCTGTGGTTTTTTCCCCAAACCCCAAAAACTTTAACCTTAGACTGTCTACTATTGACCTCACCCCTTTCCTAAGAGGTCTGTAGGGGGCGTGCAATAAGCGCACCAACGTGCCTACCATCCCTGTCCTATTGTTTCTTTTATTTTTCTTATATGTACCCATTTCATGTATTCATAACTATGTTTTTACTTATATCGATTATCTTGTAAGCAATTGACAAATAAAAATAAATAAAATAAATAAATAAAATAAAATAATTCCTCAGCCAGCTTTGCACAAGTCTTAAAGATGCACAAGTCTTAAAGTTTGCCAAGTTTGGAGACCTCTGCTCTAGGGATAACACCCAAGGCTTTCGGGAACCAAGTTGTGTACTTTTGTTTTGTAGCTGAAGATGTCAGCACAGGGTTGAAGCTTCCCTGTAATACAATTAAGAAAAAATTAAGCCTCTGCTGAGTCTCCAAGGTGGAAAGAAACAGTTGGGTCAAGATGACTCAATCAAGATGACTCAGAAAGACAGCTGTCAACATGCGTCAGAGGACAGCAAGGTGACATGTCATTGTGTGTGTATAGAGGGCTTCTGTTTTCCACAATGTGGACAAAAATGCCAGAAATGAGTCTTTGGAGCCTCTTGGAGCAGGAGGCCTTGCAGGGTCCCAAAGACTCGTTTCTGGAGGAGTTTGGGGGAGAGAAAGAAAGACTTTTGCTGCTTTCCTTGCGTGCAGCCAAAAGCAGAAGAAGAAAGAAGCAGAAAGAAGCAGCCAAGTGGCCAGGCGAGGCCCGTGTGGCTAGTGGGGCAAGTTCCTCCCGCTGTCCTTTCCCCCTTCCTCTCACTACCTCGTGTTGTTCGCAATGCAAGTGACGCAAGCCTTGTGTTCCTGCACAGCCTGGATTAGTTGCTTTGGGGGTGACATTTCTCTGTGGAACACCAAAATGTTCTTGCGACCACTGCAAACACCACTCCCCTTTCGCTCCAGAGGTGGTATGCAGCAGGTTCTGACCGGTTCTGGAGCGCTGGTAGCAGAAATTTGGAGTAGTTTGGAGAACTGGCAAATCCCACCTCTGACTGTAGATTTTACAGTATCCTTCCCCTGCCACGCCCACCAAGCCACGCCCACAGAACCGGTAGTAAAAAAAAAATTGAATCCCACCACTGCTTTGCTCCCTATTTATATCCTGTATAATGGCTTGCCCTACCAGTGTTGATGGGAGTGTGGTTTTCTCCTTGGTAATTCCTTGATTAAGATTCTCCCTGACTGCTTAGCTGGTGTTCATTTCTATGGGTGTTGGTGTTTGGAAAATATTTATTCTGGTCTTTTTCTTTCCTTCTTTGGTTGTTTATTGTCTCTTCTGAATGGCATGCAAATGTAGCTTATTTCTATGTGTCCATGAATGTACATCGATATAATATGCATTTACATCATGAGATGCAACACAACAGGCATCTATATCAACAAAGACCTGCAGTCAGTTCAAATACAAAAATAAAGTTTCAAGCATATAGGCCAGGAGTCTCCAATCCTGGCAACTTTAAGACTTGTGGACTTCAACTCCCAGAATTCCTCAGCCAGCTATGTTTTAAAATTGCCAAGGTTGGAGACCTCTGATATAGGACATCCATAATTAAAATGCCATAGAAACCATAAACTGGAGAGTGCGGAAGCTTAGCGCTTATTAGACGCTTGTAGGATCCCAAGTCAAATTTCACAGGTTAAAGTCCACAAGACTCTTTCCAGAAAATAAACAGCACTGAACTTCCTTGATCTGTAATTTCTTCCAAAAAGCCCCTACCAGAGTCTATATTCTCTGTTTATGGAGACACGAGTCCTAATGCCCCAGAATACGTGAAATAAATGCAAAAAAAGTGTCACAAAAGCGAATAAGAGCCGAACAATTTACAATCACCGAGTTGGCAAAGGGTGCTAAAGAACATTTGTGGACTGAGAAAGCTGCCCTGGGCGATTTGAATAACATAATTTTTAAGTCCCAGAGACCTCTGTAGGGGTTTTCCCCCAGGTATCCAACAGTTAAATTTGCAGCAAACAGTTAAATTTGCAGCTGGGGCTCCCATTTGGAGCAGGAATAAAAGCCCAGTGTAACAGGGCAAACTAAACTCAGTCCAGATCAGAGGTCTCCAAACTTGGCAACTTTTAAGACTTGTGGACTTCAACTCCCAGAATTCCCCAGCCAGCTGAAGACTTCTGGGAGTTGAAGTCCACAAGTCTTCAAGTTGCCAAGTTTGGAGACCCCTGGGCCCAGATGTACAAGATGTAGCAAGTTTTGAACCCAAAACGTCACAAAATACGCAAGCCCAAAGATACCAGCTTTTGCCTTGGCAAGCTGCATAAAACCGAGCCCACCGTTTCCAAATGCTCCTAGAGAAGCTGGCTAGTTAGCACAACCAACCGACCACAGCTAAGCAAACCATGGTTAGGTGTGATGCAGGAGGCCAACCCCAATCCTGGGAAGAGTCCTCAGAGAGGAAAACTACCCCCGCCCCGCAAGATGCCCTTGGAGAATAAAAGAAAGCCCCCCCCCCTGCCTAACTATTATCAATTACTACCCATAGCGCTTGGCAGTTTTTAATGAGCTTTGATACGGGCTGCCAGCTGTGCCTATCAAAGCCTCGTTTTTGCCATAATAGGAATAAACCCCCCTCTTGCCAAACTTTCTTCCCGAAAGAGCGAGCGGCGGGGGGGGGGATGCGGAGGGATGGAGTGAGGTGGGGGCTGCCCTCCCTTTCCTCCCCCACCAAGCCCCCTGCCCCTCCCCTACTTACCCAGGGACCCTCTCCAACCTGGCGCGGGGGGTCTGCTCAGCCTGAGCCCCAGGAGCAGAAGGGGGGCGCGGCTCGGGCCGGCTCTGGAGTCCCCCCATGATCTCCCTGGGGACCAGCGCAGCCCAAGGACGGGGGTGGGCTAGGCTGGGATGGGCCACTCGCTTCCCTCCCGCTGCGGCTCCCGGAGGACTTCACGCGCCCAGCTCCGGGAGGGGAGGGCCAGGCAAGCGCCGAGAGGGCGAAGTTCGGCCCCCGAGCTCAGCTTAAGGAGCAGCCCGGCCGGGAGAGGAAGTTGGCAAAGCGGAGGACACCAACTTTCTTTCTTTTCTTTTGTTTTGACCCAGCTTTGCAAGAAGCCCGGAATGGGGGAGGATTCTCGGTGGCCTTTTGCAGACGGTAAAGGACAGGTTGGGTGCATGTATGTTGGAAGGGGCGCTGAGGGGCGGCCGGTGCACCCAGAGCTATCATTCACAAGGGCCCGGGTAATGCAGGCACCGGCTTTGCTAAAGCCTCGTCACTGAACGCCAACCAGTCCAACCGGTGGAAGAAGTTGACTTGGGCTTGGCAGGAGCCTTGAGAAGCCCAGAAGGAGGCTGGCACCTGTAGAAGTTGGCAGCTCTAAGGCAGGTGTATAGAGATTCTCAGTCCTCCAGGTCACGGTTGTCCCAAAGGTGCTTTTTCACTAGGCGACCGGACTTTCTGGTGTTGTTTTTTTTTGAAGACATTTCGCTTCTCATCCCAGAAGCTTCTTCAGCTCTGACTGGGTGGTGAGGAATGGAAGGATTTATATTCCTTGCAGACAGCTGGTTGTTTGCGTCCTTTTAGAGGGTCCCTGAGGCCACTTGGAGGTTTATCTGTGTCCTCAGGGTCACCTGAGTGGTGCAAATGGTTCCTGTAATCTGCAATTTTTTTCCTCTGGAAATCCGTTCCTAATCCCACACCATTCCCAGGGTGTTCGTTTATTTATTTATTTATTTATTTGATTTTCCAATTGTTTACAAGATAATAAGTATAAGTGTATACATAGTTGTGAATACATGAAATGGGTACATATAAGAAAAATAAAAGAAGAATAAGAGAAACAATAGGACAGGGACGGTAGGCACGATGGTGCGCTTATGCAGACCTCTTAGGAAAGGGGTGAGGTCAATAGTAGACAGTCTAAGGTTAAAGTTTTTGGGGTTTGGGGAAGAAACTACAGAGTCGGGTAGAGTATTCCAGACATTGACCACTCTATTGCTGAAGTCGTATTTCGTCCCAAATTGCATAGCTAAAAGTCAGGATGCAAATGACCAGCTGTCTGCGAAGAGTATAAATCCTTCCATTCCCCACCATCCAGTCAGAGCTGAAGAAGCTTCTGGGATGAGAAGCAAAACGTCTTCAAAACCAAAAAAAAACCAGAAAGTCCAGTTGCCTCGTGAAAAAACATCTTTGGGACAACGATGACCTGGATGACTGAGAATCTCCTCGGATATCCAGCTGTGGGCTCTGCTCTCTCTTGTCTGACCATTCCCTAGGCAGCATCTCTGTCCAGCCTCCTAAGATCCTCCACTGCCATCACAGCAGGACCATTTCCCTTGGCAGGGAAGATGGGGACAGCAGGCAAACTCAAGGGAGCGCCAGACCTGACTGGCCATATTAAGGGAGAATTGGACCTGATCCACTGGAGATCTTTTCAACAAAGTTCAGACTATATCTGGTATCAAAAGCCAGGTGTAAAGAGTAAGGGAGGTGATCTTGACATCAATAAATAAGCAAACAAACTGAAATATTCTTGCAATCCTGGAAAGCAAGATATGCCAGTGCCAGCTGAGACAGGCAAGATATCTTATTATAGCATCCCAAACATCTATTCTTGAAATCCATTTTTTTCTTCTTCCTTATATATTGAAAGAAAGTTTTTTGTGTGATTATTTTTGGCATTGGTTGCAAGTTGTAATTCATTCTGAGCCTTGGCTTTCCTGACTTCATCCTTATAGATTCGGGCTATTTGCTGGCAAGACCTTTAAAGTCTTTTCCAGCCCTATGGTTCTTTGAGACTGAATCTTAGCTCTGCTTCTAATGGGAATATAAGAAGGCAAGGATCTAAAGCACAGCCAGCCTTGCAAGAATCAATTACTATAAACTAGAGTTTCTTAAAGTAGGGATCCCCCAAAGCCATCTCGGGACCTGTGAAATCCAAATTAATTGCCAGCCTATGTTGGCAAATAATACAATACTAAAATCCTATCAAACAATCGCAAGAAGCAGTAGCAGCAGCAGCGAGTGCATCAATTATCATTTTTAATAGTCTCCATAATTTTTAAGAGCGGGGAGGAGTTCACAAGAGAAAAAAAGTGTTAAGAAACACTACTAAGGCTCAGAATGAATTACAACTTGGCAACAAATGCCAAAAATTATCACAAAATAGTGCAGCGTAGTTGTGCTGTCCAGACAGTTTAGAGTTAATGGGATTTGGGATAGTTAGTTAGAAATTGAGAGCTGCCCCCTAAAAGGAATGCATCATGGTAAATGTAGTTAAGGTATCCTGGGAAATGTAGTCCATATCTTGTGGCCACATCTGTAATCCTGATTGGTCACTAAATTGACCCTTGTTGGGTTGGGGGAGGCTCCCTCCCTCTTGCCTGAATCCATTACCATGCAGCCGCTTCAATCATCATGGGGATGAGAGTTTATTATCTTTCTACACCATAATGCAGATATGCAAAGGATTGGACATTAAGAAGAACCTTGTCAGTAGTTCTAGTTTTCTGGTGGAGGTGATCAGAGCGTTAAAGGACAGTGTCTACACAGTCAGTGAAATAACAACAACACCACACCACAGTATTTACACAGCCAAGCTTTGGCTGGTATTCTTTCAACAGAGACGTGTGAAGGTTTTAAATTGTTTTATTTCTATTCTGTGTAAGGCACCAAAGAGTCATTTTCAGGGGTGGGCTTCAAAAATTATAGCAAAGGGTTCTCTGCCTGGTTGCTGGGGGGGCGTGGCCATGGAGGGCGTGGCCTAGTTGGCCTCCTGCACCACGGCGGAGGTGGGGGGAGGCATTTTGCCTTCTCCCGGCTCCGGAGGCTCTCTGGAAGCCAGAAATAGGCCCAAACTTCTGGGAGGCCCATTTTTCGCCCTTCCTGAGTATCCACGCATGCCCTGCACTTACCTGCATCCAAAACGGGCCCTGTGGGGACTCCTGGGCGGGGTGGGGTGGGTGGGGCCAGCCAGGAGTGGGATTTGGGAATCTTAGCTAGGGGCTCTCCCGAACCCCTGCAAACCCGTAGCATCTCACCCCTGGTCGTTTTGATCGCTATCCATTTAGAAACATGTCAAATGAAATAAAACGCCTGGATTTTAAAAGAAGCAGCTACTATTCTTACTTTACTATAACTCTGAAATTGTTCCATTTTTTTAATAAAGGAGAATATTTACAGTTCAGGGTTAAAATGAGAGGTGTCCTTGGGTGCTCTCTGAGCTTGCTTGTTTTCTTGCAGACATTTCATCGCCCAAGCTAGGTAACATCATCAGTGCTACCTGGGTTACCTAGTTTGCAAGAAAACAAGCAAGTTCCAGAGAGCACCCAAGGACACCCCTCATTTCCACCCTGAGCCACAAATATTCTGCTTTATTTTCTGAACAGCCGCCTCTCACCACTCTTCTAATGCCTAAAATACAAGCACCTGGCTAAACAGCAAATAACTGAAAAGCTGGCCGAGGCATTTCATATCATTCATTCTTCAGATATCCTACAGGGGAACAGCCCAAGTCACGTGAGAACCTGACAGCATCCCGGGATGCCATTGTATTCTCGCTCTCTCTTTCCAGGAAGTGCTTTCTTGATCTTTTGAATAACAAGGAGTTCTGCCAAGTGGCAGGAACTCATTTCCCCTCCCCTGTTGCAACAAATCAGCTCTCTCAACTTTAAAGAGAAGCCCGTGGACCTGACCGCTGATTCTTTTTCATCTTGAAAGATTCATAGTAAAACAGTAGGGGAAAAATTGCTATGGAAAGCACTGGGTGCTTTGGGGAAGCATATTATAGAAGCGACTGAATGAGTCTATTTTCTGAGTGTGCTCCAAACAGAATGGGTTTGCCTAATGCGCTGCTTGACAATAAAATTAGCCAAGGTTACAGGTAACCATGTGTGTCTTTTGCTAATTATTCAATGACTAGATCTTCAAATAATTTTAAGTAACATGGAGAGAGAGAGAGAGAGAGAGGGAGGGGAGGAGGGAGAGAGATACAGAAACAGAGAGAGACAGAGACAGAGACACAGAGAGAGGGAGAGGGAAAGAGAGAGAGATGGAAAGAGAGAGAGAAAGAGAGGGAAGGAGGGAGAGAGAAAGAGATGGAAGGAGAGAGATTGTATGTGTGTATCTGAGAAAAATAAACTAACTGGGTTTATCCATCTGTTTTAACCATCCTGCTAAGCTTGGTTTGATTACAACAAACCATAATTAGCTGGGTTCACACTGCACATCGAGCCATAAATCAGAAGGGGACAATCTTTAGTGTCGGAAAGCCACATGTGACATTTTTAGGAGCACAAATGTTGCAATAGATCTTCACATGTATGAAGAAGGCAAGGATCTTCTGTTCATTTTCTGTCCCTGATCATTTTAATTGGAGGTTTTAAAGAAGCGATTGGACAGCCACTTGTGTGAAATGGTATAGGGTCTCCCACTTGAGCAGGGGGTGGATTAGAAGACCTCCAAGGTCCCTTCCCAACACTGTTATTCTGTTAACTGGAAATCACACGGTGTATGCCACACAATCAAGCCCCCTTTCGTTAATTTAGCACCCTTATAATGTTAAAGCTTGTAAATTGAGGCAAAACTCACTTAACAAAGGTTTCACTTAGCAAAAAGAAATTTTAGCTCAATTGTGGTCTTTAAGTCCAGGATTACCTTTCACTTACCTCCTCTCTAAGAGCCAGAGAGATCCAAGTGTAAAGGTACTGGACTAGGAGTGGGGAGGCCTTAATTGTATGTATTTATTTGTATCCTGTCTCTATCATTTTTACAAATAACTCATATTCAGTGCATGTTAAATGCCTATAGAGCAGTAGTGGCTAACTTTTTTGTGCTCCTGTGTCAAAAACTGCTCACGCATTAGCACGCGCGCACTTGCGTGCAAGCACCCAGAATGCAATGCGCCCCTCCATCCCCTGAGCATTCCCGCACTATCCCCCCACCCTCTTACCTGAACTGCGCCTCACAGCTGATTTTTTTGGCTGGTTTG